TTCCGCTCGGAACTAAATTCTGGGGCCCTATTACCAACTCATCGAAATTTATTCCGCTCGGAAACGATTCCGATCGGAAACTAGCTTTCATCGGATTGCCAATTTCGTAAAACCCACTTTGCCGTAACATGAGCATATCGGAATCCGGAATCAAAATCGGCATTCCGTACGATTCCGGTGAAATTGAAGTTTGTAGGCGGGACTAACTTTGATCTTATGAATGTTTTTTTTTTAAATTTTATTTTATTACTTTTTTTTAAAGAAAATCATATTTTTCGTTACACGTAAAGGGAAACCACGAAAATATCTTTCAGATTCCTTAACGCTTAAATAGCTCCAGTTTAATGTTCAGGAATCGTAATGAATTAATTTTTATATAAATAATCATTTTTAGCTAATTACTAACAGACAGCTAATTATATTTGTGAATATAACGAGATGCTCTTTATATTTTTAACTCATCCCGAAAATCAAAGTAACTCGCAATTTAAGTTTCGGCGAAATACAATGTTTATAAAAATAATTTATTTTAACCATGATTAAGTTGAAATTTAAATTGATCAAATATTGCGTTACACGCAAAGGAAAACTACAAAAATGTTATTCAGATCGCTTATATCGGTAATAGGTTTTATATCGGTATATCGGTAGTAATGACAGAAAACAGCGCCATTTTGATCACTAAAATAGAGGTCGCTTGATGGGTCGCTGATAGGTCGCTTATATCGGTAGTAATGACAGAAAACAGCGCCATTTTGATCACTAAAATAAACTAACTCTCAGCGAAATCTGGATTTCGCTTACTCTTAAACCCAACGGATTCGTAATTATTTCGCATCGGAATTTAATTCCGAGCGGAATCAAGATGCTCGTAATATGGCCTAACTGACATTCACGGATTTATGACGTCACGAGAGCTTCATTTCGATCGGAATTCGATCGAGTTATGGGGTGTGACATTGGAGACAATTTTTATCCGTTTTCAGCCCTTATTCGCTTTTTAACATAGAAGGATACTTATTTTTTGATATAGAACACTTTATTCCCGTTAAAATCTTGAAAAAGATGTTATCCGGAATGTATCCGTTTTTTAGCTATTATTCGATATTTCCCAAAGAAATAATAGTTATTTTTATCTATAGAAAAATTTATTCTCGATAAAATATCGAAAAACATATAAAAAAAATAATATAAATTAAATGAATAAAAAAATTTGAAAATCATCCCTCGCATGGAGTTGAACCCAGTACCTCCAGGTCTACAAATCTAACGTACCCGCAACGCTACCAACCACGCCATGATTCACCCGCAGCTACTAAGAATACTTAGCGAGGCCCAGTGGTTTGGGCAGTGCACGAGTAAGATTCGTTGAGCGGGATGACGCAGGTTAAAATCCCGGTGGTGGCATATTTCTTAATTTTTTTTTGTTTTGTTTATTTTATTTCGCTATTTCCTGAAGGAAAAAAACTATTTTTTATATATCAAACCCTTTAAAATATCGAAAACACATTAATAAAATAATATAAAAAGATAAACAAAACAAAAGAAAAAATTAAAAATTGACCACCGCCGGGATTCGAACCCACTTTCTCCTGCTCAACGAATCATACTCGCCCACAGCCCTAACTACTGCGTCACACCATACACGATGTTTCCGTGATTATTTGGCTTAAAGAATCTTCTCCCGGTCTGTCATATAAAAAGATTTTCCGGCGAAATGGAATTGAATAGAAATTTTATGATTCGCAAAAATATTTCTCGCTGAAACCGGGGCTTACTCATTTAAAGCGAGCTTTGCTCCAATTAACTGAACACTGTACCAACCAAGTATTTAAGATTTCACCGCTTCTGAGTTTTCTTTAAGTCAGAACTCGTTATAAGCGACTGTATATCTACAGAACTGTATATCTAATCCTTTATATCTCATACAAAATCTGTAGTTCATCTTCATCTCCATTCGCTTCATTTTAGCGAAAGTTCACATTTGAGCGAAAATCGAAATGAAGAAGCATGAATAGAGAAAAGAAAACAGGCAGTCATATCGCCTGAAAAAGAATCATTTAATAATCTATGGGCAGTTGTACAATTTTTTAATTCTTTCGATGTCCCTCTGACTTAACTTCTTCTTGGAGACAGGATCGTTGAGCCAACTTCCGTCCAGAGCCTCAATGGTTCTTTTCCTTCCCCTGTAATCCTTGGAGAAGGCCAGGGAGCCATACAGCATAATGGATTCATAGTCAAAAGGAGTCAATAATTG